ATACTGAAAGAGGTCACAACTAGTTACGTGGCTTGTTAAGGTCATTTTGTGCACCTAAATTAGTTTTGCCACAGCATGGTCTTGCAGCTATTTCTATTTTACTTTCATATGAATTATCCATTTTGCTTATCTTTTTGGTTTGAATGTGCGGCGTAAATTGGTATATAACAAATATTGCTGCTTCGAAGTGTCATGATTGCAGCCTTTAAACCCACAGGCTTTGTTTAATCTGTAATCTCACGTCTTTGAAGTGGTACCGACAAACTCAGTGCGTGTAGAGCTGAGCAGAGATATCCTGCCTGAGCCTGTAGCAGGAGGAATGGGTGAAGGGGTCATTATGGGAACCCTTCTCCTTTCCCATTGCAAAGGCAAGAGGTCTGTTTCTCTTTGGAAATCGGAGCCGTGCCTGTTTGTATACGAGTCAGAACGCTGCGTCCTGTAGATTAGATGGAAAAGTTGAAGTGGAGAAGTACAGATTGTGATATCTGTAGAATGTTAATGGGTGTATCGGATAAGTTTGGGTCAGTTTCCCTCTGTGGGCTGCCATAATGGTTATCTGAAAGAGGCTTATAGCCTCTGTCCTCTAGAGCTTTTTTAATACTGGCATTTTCTAATACTCATAAAAGTATTTTCTAGGCCAGCAGCCATATGACTCTGCAACACACAGCTGGCAGCCCACTGGAGCTCAGCAGTGTGAGCCTGGTCAGTACCTGGATGGGAGACCTCCTGGGAAAAACTAAGGTTGCTGCTGGAAGAGATGTTAGTGGGGCCAGCAGGGGGTGCTTACCCTGCGGTCCATGTGGGTTGTAATGCCCCAGTATAGTGATGGGGACACTATACTGTAAACAGGCTCCGTCCTTTGGATGAGACGTAAACCCAAGGTCCTGACTCTCTGTGGTCATTAAAAATCCCAGGGAGTTTCTCGAAAAGAGTAGGGGTGTAACCCCGGCGTCCTGGCCAAATTTCCCATTGGCCCTTACCAATCATGGCCTCCTAATAATCCCCATCTCTGAACTGGCTTCATTACTCTGCTCTCCTCCCCACTGAGAGCTGGTGTGTGGGGAGTGGGTGCACTATGCCGTCGCCTCATCCAGGTGAGGGGCTGCACACTGGTGGTGGTGGATCCCCATTACCCGTGAAGCGCTTTGAGTGGAGTGTCCAGAAAAGCGCTATATAAGTGTAAGCAATTATTATTATTATTATTATTGTTTGTTGTTGTTGTTAATAATTATATTATTAAAGCAGTTACACTTTCTGCAGACAACACACAGATGCTTCTTCTGTGCTCGTGTAGAATCACTCCCACCTCATCTCACCCCAGGCTTCTCTCTCCCTGTCTGTGTGCCTCATGGAGAGTAAGCTGGGGTATGCGAAAAGACAAATTCCTAATGCAAGAAATTGTCTATGGCCAATAAAGTGGTCTTATCTTATCACCTCTCCAGCAGTCTTAACCTATAGAATGCAGGTCACGTTTTCATTTAGCCTTTACCAGCCTGTAGCTGAATCTGTGGATCTGAGTGGTTAGTCAAGGCTGTGCCTGGCCAGTACTGGCCAGAGAGACCTCCAAGAGCAATCACGTGCTGCTACAGCTGGTATTGTTGGACCAGTAGGTGACGGTCTTTCCTCCAGATGGCAAATTTCCAATTGATGCCGCGGGATGGTGTGCTATTGGTGGTGTGATTATGCTTGTCTGTGTGATTATACCTCCCTTTGTAAGAAGACCTTCATGTTCTTGTTTTCCTAAATACTCCATCTTGTGACGTTCAGGTGTGTGTGACCTTCTGGTAACCTTCAGCTCCATGTTCTTGTCACCATTGAGCATGAGGTGAATCATTCCTGAGCAGAGGAGATTCCCAATCTTGAAGTGATTTCATTTCCTTTAAAATGATCTTTGCGCGATTATCTTCTAGAGCTGACACTTTATCTGGTTTCTCTTTCTGTGGCAGCAGTTCCACTGACGGTGGTAGTTCCTTGCAGAGGTACTACACTGTGCATATCCTGAGATTTCACAGCTGGCACTGGAACGCTGGGTTTTTAAAAGAAGAACGACTTCTAAAGTTATTTCTTAAATTTGTGCAGTGGTTGTCTGAAACCTCTTTGTAATGTAGACTGGACGCATTGAGCAGGAGGTAGGAGCTGAAGTCTTTTCCCCTCATTCTGCTTGTTTGTCCGTGAATAAAGGCTTGCTCTTTGTGCCTTGTTTGGTATGTTCTCATGTTTCTCAAAGTGTTTAACTCGGTTTTGTGCAGATGCCGTAAGTGGCTTTGTTGCAGTACATAGAAGCAGAGTTTCAGATCGAACTGTGCAGAGTTCCTTCCTGTTTCACAGCGTTGAAGCTGCTTGAATTCAGGAACAGATTACAGATAGCGTTGTGCTCATGTTTATTTATATCTTCTTCATCGATGATAAATGGGGGCATCGCCCTTCAGCATAGCTGAAGTGATGTGTTCTTCTAACACATTTTTCACCAGGACCATATTCAACAGGTAAGAATGAGGAGAATTCCTCTGTGTTTACAGGACGGTGTTCAAAATGGGGTTTTGATCCATCTCTTAAAAGGCCAAAAGGGTGAAATATAGACACTTGACAAAAGAGGTGATTGGCAGTTATTGGATTTGGTCGCTCTGGGTCTTCAAATTCTAAATTGCCCTCTTGGCCGACTCTTTGCTCCAGGGCAGTTTTCAAGCCAAGTGTGACAATGAGGAACTCATATCAGGTCAGTTTCAGGTCAAGTCTCATTAAGGGCGTCGACACAAATGAGAAAATTATGTGTGTGCACATATACACTTATTCTTTTTTGATCCTTTCATCAAGGCTGTGACCTGAATGAAAAGGAAAGCTGAAAAGCTTATTGCTTTAAACTATTTTATAGACAGTCATTTCATATTAATTCTATGCAAATAGCTGTCGAACACATGTAATACGTGTAATGCCATGAGGAGAAACTCCATGTAGAGTTCTAGCATACATTTTAGAAAAGAGTATCCTTTTTTCTGCTTACCTTCCTGACTCACAGATATCCTGTATATCTGATGGGTATCTGTAAGGCAGGATGATGGGTAGCACTGATTTATTTATGTATTTTACCCATTTTTCTCAAATGTTCTTGCTCTCTGTGTGTGAGCGTCTAGCAGCGACATTAAGTAATGAAGCTTCTCTCTCCCCCGGCTTGTGCTCTGCACAAAACGGCAAGCTCCTGCTGGACGAAAGGTCACCTACGGGTCTAGTATCCACTGTGTGTGCGGCTGTTCCCATTCCAGAAGACTTTAATCCTCCCAGGAGCATGGAGCGTTCTTGAGACTGCTTGAGTCTGTTTGCCAGGGCGCTGTCTTGCTGTTAGAGCAGTGGGTTTAATTCAGCCGCTTCACAGTACCCAGACTAAACCTGACGCCCGAATCTTTTCATCCTGTTTCAGACCAACATGGAGGTTTTTTCCCCCACAGACGATTCTCACCGGGAGACAGCAGGGTGGTTGCAACTGTATTGTAATTTGGTACAAATTTGAGTGGCTTTTGACCGGAACCCCCGAGAATGTTCTGGAAGCCTTGGAAACTCTAGGTGTTCTAGAACACCTCTCGGGCCGCGCTGGGCCCGTGGCCCCGAGTACGTGGGAACCCCGGATAAGGAGGAAGGGGGGGGGCGGACTCTAGCGATGCGATGCGACGCGTGTTGCGGGTTCAAACCCACTGCGGTTGCACCACTGAGCAGTGTTCTCCACGCGGCTTACTCTGATAAGTGCCACAAGAGGGTACTCTCTGAGGGGGGGGGGGGCACAGTGGTGCAGTAGTTGGCATTGTTGCCCCCACAGCGCTGGGTCCACTTCCGGACCTGTGCTGCTGTCTGTGTGGAGTTTGTTTGTTCTACTTGGGTCTCCTCAAGGAATGTGTGGGTAGGTTACTTGGTTTCTGAGAAAATTGTCTGGTTGGCATGTCTTGGTCTGCCCGCCCTGCGGTAGGCTGGCGCCCTGTCCAGGGTCTACCCTGATTTGTGCCCATTGCTTGTCGGGGTAGGTTCTGGCTCCCCCGTGACCCTGAATTGGATGAAGCGGGTACGAAATGGCTTAGGTGGGCACTTTCTTGGGTAAAGTGGTCAATGGTGAGCCTCCCCATCATCTGGTAGCTCCATTGTGCAGTAGCGTCAAGTCTGGTTGTGCGTAACCAGAAACAGCTGACCAGTTTTAATTTCGCATGCCAAATTAGTCTTGAAGAGAAGGAAGCCAGGAGGCTGTGTGGACACCCGAGTTCAGTCGGGCTTTGATTTGCATTGTCGTCCCCTGGCCCCTTCTGTAAGGGATATGCATGAAAAGTTACATAATTCAATGCTCTTTGATCACAGCAGGTGCGCAAAAATGGATCTGTTCTTAGAAAGCTTTTGAATGGTTAATGCTCGTGGAGCTGATGCCTGTAGCGCTTTATTAATCAAGCGAATCTGGCTTTCCGTCGGTCTAAATTGAAAGCTGAAGCTCTACCCGGATGTTCTGCACAGAGTGGTGTGCACGAGCGCTGAGGAGGAAGATTTGTCCACGGAGGATCTGAAAAGCAGCGAGGAGGGTGGGCCTTGTGGCCGGAGGTCTGGAGCATTGCAAGGGAAACGTTTCCGAGAAGGAATTGCGACAGCAGTCCCTTTTCATAGGTCTTTTGCAGGCACCCTAGGTGCAAAAAATGAACGGACCTGCTCCTGCATCTTAAAGCAGGTGGATGCATAAAGGAGTAATTCCTAAGTAGTCCCTGGTGTTTGCCTCGCTAATCTATGTTCTGTAATTTCGGGCTTTGTATGGAAATCTTCTTTCGAAATGTGTACCCCAAAGCCAGGCTGTCAGGTGTTAGGAATGCTTGCGGTCGGGTTATTGGTAAACTGCTGGGCATTTGTAAACCAACTTAATACCCGAATGATTGATTGTTTGGGAAGTGGCTTGCTTTGGGAGGGGCGGTGTCTCGGGTTTCTCTGAGGTTGGGCTCGGTGTGTTCAAAAGACCACCTCTCTCCTCTCTGCCCCTCCAGGAGACGCAGCGCTTACTGGCAGAGCCCGTTCCCGGGATCAAGGCGGAGCCGGACGAAGGCAACGCCCGCTATTTCCATGTGGTCATCGCGGGTCCACAGGATTCCCCCTTTGAGGGAGGGACTTTTAAACTTGAACTTTTCCTTCCGGAAGAATATCCTATGGCTGCTCCTAAAGTTCGATTCATGACCAAAATATATCACCCTAATGTAGACAAGCTGGGAAGAATATGTCTAGATATTTTGAAAGGTAAGTGGCCATTTTTTGCTCTTCTAGGCCTGTAAGTGAGCAGTAGAAACGGCTAGTCTACGATTAAACATTTAGCAGTTTCGTGATGTGTGTGGCCCGTGGAGCACCATTATTAAAAGGCAGCAGGTTTAATGAGATTTATTTGCCTTAGTGTTTGAGTACATCGTCATTAATCAAGCGGGGAAAGAGATGAAGGTAAACTTGTAAACCCACTTTTTTTGTGTGATTGTATCTTTCGGCTCATGTGATTATCTCGTCACCAGACTGCAGATTACATTATAAATAGATATTAGATTTAGGTATCAATGGATTTTTTTGGGTGAAAGGGCTACACGATTGTTTGATTAATTGATTCCTGGCGCGAGTTCTTGTCATAATTCAGTGTCTGATATCTAGTTTATTTGTGGTCTAGATAAGTGGTCTCCAGCCTTGCAGATTCGCACAGTTCTGCTATCAATCCAGGCATTATTAAGCGCTCCTAACCCCGATGATCCACTAGCAAATGACGTTGCAGAGCAGTGGAAGACCAACGAAGCTCAAGCCATAGAAACAGGTGAGTTTTTTTTTCCCCCCCACTTGGTAGCAGTCCATGTATAATAAATATAAACATATAGGATGAAGTGTAAGGTAACTTTTTAATTTAGTATTACCACCATGTAGTCAGGTCTCTCCAGATCTGAGTAGCTAAGCAAGTCTGGGTCTGGTCAGCACTGGGACCTCTAAGTACAACCAGGTTGCTGCTGTAAGAAGTGTTTGTAGACCAGTAGGAGGTGCCCTTCCCTCTGTAACAGTTTCCAAAACCACTGCCAGATACGGTAGGGTAAACAGGCACTGTAATAATAATATAAATAATTGCTTACACTTATATTGCGCTTTTCTGGACACTCCATTCAAAGTGCTTTACAGATAATGGGGACTCCCCTCCACCACCACCAATGTGCAGCCCCACCTTGATGATGCGACGGCAGCCATAGTGTGCCAGAACGCTCATCACACACCAGCTCTGAGTGAGGAGGAGAGCAGAGTAATTAAGCCAATTCAAGATGGGGATTATTAGGAAGCAATGATTGATAAGGGCCAATGGGAAATTTGTCCAGGGTGCCGGGGTTACACCCCTACTCTTTTCGACCACCTGTAGGAGGTGCCATCCTTCAGATTAGATGTTAATTCAGTCATCTTTATTCATTAAAGAACACATGGCACTATTTGTCATAGTATTATTACACTTTAGTACACATTACTATTTGCGATAGTAAAGTCATTAACCCTTGTGTCCAGAACTAAATTTTCCTTTTGGTTTTCCCCATTTTGCCTTCCTTGGGGTTTCCCCTTTATTTCTTTTTTTGAAACGAATCTCTGGGGTGACATGCTGAATTAGTGGGCTGCCTGCAGAGAGTGTCACCCAGGCAGGGGCTGAAGTTCAATTCAAGTAGATCCCCTCGTTCACGTGAAGCACTTTAGGATGGAACGTGTTATAGGCATGAAACATCATTCAACACATTTTTTGTTCAGCTGTAGTATTTTTAATAATTCAGGAAAGCCTGCTAGGTCTTTTGCATGTTTTTTTCCTAAGTGTCTGCCTCATCAGTTTGATTCTGATGTCATAGCTCCTTGCAGTTCGAAATCGCTCCAGATCACATGTTCCCAATGGGCTCTCCGGAGCTCCACCTGCTCAGTCCTTCTGATCAGAGTAGCGTCTGTGTCGCTGTTCTCATATCGGGGTTTTTTTTGTTCTCCTTTTTGTTTTTCAGCCCGGACATGGACTAGGCTTTACGCCGGCAACAACATCGAAGTCTAATTGGATGTCGTGTTATGACACCCAACTCCTCTCCTGTTCTGCCAAGACCTCTTCCTCCTTCGTTTGCATCGAAAGGACAACAGTCTTAGAAAAAAAATAAATGACAGATTTAAAAAAAAAAGAGCAAAAGCCAGACAACTTCAGTCCATTGGTGATTTAAATGCACATTTAGCCAATATTCGTCTTGTCCTGGTTCGCTGTTATTATGCATGAGCAGAGGCGCTGAAACCTCTCACATGGCTTTCCCTATTCGTTTCTGAAGCAGTGGCCTGCCTCTGCTTTGATTTGCATATACCTGGCATTGTTGGGCTGTACTGCAGTTCGACTGGGCAGGTTTAGCTGCGGGAGACAGTATGTTTATTTTTTTCTTTCCCTTTTGGCTTTTTTTGTTCTCTCCTTCTTCTCCTTTCGTTCTCGTGATGACGCTAATGGTTGATTAACGCAGCTGATTAGAACAACTTAGAATGTGCCCTTTAGCCAGGTCTGGCTCACCCTTTAGATGCTGTAGGAAAAAAAAAAGAAATGAAAAGCTTGGCTTTTTTTTAAACATCCGACTTTAAAAAAATTGTTACACGACAAAAATGAATTAAGCCACCACCACCGCTCTCACTAATAACATTGTGACTGCTGTCAAGTGTAGACCCTAATATAGGCTTGTGACTTTTTGTATGGCTTGTCTGGGGATAAAAAAAGACATTCTGTAAATCTTACGTTTTAGTAAAATATTTTTTTGTTATTCTATTTGGTCTTAGTATTTTATTTTGATGTGTTGATTTCAACTTTTACATGTCTTTGCCATACAATTGGGTTCTGAAGGTTATAGAGTCTCTGTTGTTTTCTTTTAAAGATCATGTTCCATATTTGTAATGCATTAAAAAGGCTCATTTAGTGCTCCTCTACTGCAAGCATTTCTTTATTTCCCAAAGTTCCTGATCTGAAACTGTCAGTTTTAACTAGGAAGTTGGAGAAGCCGAGAAAAAATGTGACTGGTGTTGCATTTAAACTCCCCACGTGTCAGAACAGCTCATCGGGATTGGTACTAGGTTAAAGGCTGTACGAAATTAACGGGTTGTAAATTCGTTCTTTATATACAAACAGGAGAAAGCTTTCCTACTGTTAAAATGCTCTGAAAACATCACCCCACCTACATATTTTTGTTCTTTCTGTAAATAAAATCTGTTGATTAATAAAGAGACAGTTATCTATGTCTTCTTGGATACACAGTAAACTTGCTTACAGCCAAAAGTGTTGAACATGGAATCACTGATGAGTGAAGGGTTACATTTGGAAAATAATGAAACCTAAGTTTGATTTGATTGTAACGAAGATGGTATTCCTGGTTCCAGTTCTCTTAAGATAAGATCACTTTTTTGGCCATATACAATTTCTTGCATTAGGAATTTGTCTTTTCACAGACCCCAACTTACTCTCCATGAGAGACACAGACAGAGAGAGAAGCTTGGGGTCAGAGCACGGGTTAAGTCATTTATATGGGGCCCCTGGAGCAGCTGGGGTTAAGGACCTTGCTCAGGGGCCCAACAGAGTAGGATTTCTCTGCCGGCCGCGGGATACAAACCAGCAACCTTCCAGCCGCAGGCACGGAGCCACCAGTGCGCCCCCCAATTAATTATTTTTCCATCAATTTCCAACCCTCTTTATCCGATTCAGGGTCGTGGGGGACCCAGAGCCTATCCCAGTATGGGGCACCAGTCCATCACAGGACACACCCAGAAACGCATTCGGACACACCAGCGCTGATAGTCGAAAAGCCCCAGCCAACGTGGGAAGAACATACAAGCTCCATGGAGCTAGCACCCTCAGGACCCCACTGTGCCACCCCTGTTAGTTTTTGTACATCTTAAATTCAAATTTATGACTTGGTAATGACTGGCCTTAATTCTATCCAGCCACATGATTGAAGCCGATACCCTTCTTTTAAGAAAAAAGATCCTTGGATCCAACTAGCTACTTATTACCAAATGGTTTCTTGTTTGTAACCGTTACATTCTTAATGTGGGTAACTTGACTTGCAGTTAGAAATGGAAGGCAGGAAGATTGCAGTTGCAGTGTGTCATTTGTCATGTCTGGACTGGTTCAAGATTGTTTTTGTGATTTGGATATTCCAGGCTTTCCTGATGGGCTTTCCATTTGAGTTCCCTGACAGATCTTGGATCATGTCCTCATCTCAACATGTCGCCTTACCTGGGCATATGTTTTCACAACTGAAGGAAATCTCCAAAATTCAGCTTTAAAGCCTTACCTAGTAGCTGAAAACTTGAGTTTCTTTTGTGAGGGGGGGGCAGCTGTGCACAGTTCTTTGTCAGTTTCCTATCTCACTTGGCATGAGAGGTGTCATCAGAGGTGTGTTCTGCATCGTTCTGTTGTTGCGTTGTGTTGTGCCACCCTAGAGGAGTATCCCTGGCAGGTTGGACCTGGTTCCCAGTGCTCCACAGCTGAGGATGTGATCTGGGCTCAGTCCCAAGCCCCCCGACCGAACTGCACCACCTGGAGTAGCTTAACGAGCCGCTGCCTACAGCGAGCATCTGTAAGAGGTTTGGCGGCAGCTCACGGGTGAGTTTAAGCAGCTTGCAGCAAGAGCTTCCTCCATTGTCGTGCAGAAGATGTTAGAGGGGAAGCGTCTGGAACAGAAAGGGAATTCATCTGGCGGATTGCATGGCTGCTTTGGTGTGCCGCACCTTGAATACCTTCCTCCCAAGATCTTCGTGTTTGTTGCAAATGGGGAACTCTCCCCTTTCACCCCCGGGTGCTGCCGTAGAAATTATTTGTTTTAACTCTGGGTTGTGTGTGTGTTGCAGTTTCGAGGGAGGTAATATTTTTTTGGGCCATGTTCATTGATTTGCTAGGACAAAAATGCAGGGCCTACTCGTTCCTGTTGACCTTCAAAATCAAAGTCATTGACACTGTAATGAAACGGGAGAGGTTGCAAAGGAGCTGGGCCCATGTGGCGTGTGAAGCTTGTTTGATCTTTGCACGAATGGTTCGAATACGTCCATTCAGATATGTTTTTTGTAAGAATTTAGGAAGTTGGCAATGACTGGGAAGCTTTATCCAGACTCCCTCAACCCTTTTGGTAAACAAGTGCCTCGTGTTCTCGGTTTTCCATACACTTTGTGTGTGTACTGTGGGGAAAAATGGAATATTGGAGATGGCAGGGCAATACATTTTCTGTTATTTGGGTGACATTTTCAGGAAATCTGGAAAACCCCTTAAAATATCCCTGGGCTGCACCGATGTATCCAGCTGCATGTTTATTAGTCATTATTAATTGTCAAACAAAACATCTTTCTGCCACTGTCACAAGACTGCAATGAAGCTCGCATTCAAGTAAAATATAAACTGCAAAGTTTTTAATGATAAATTGATTGTTATTTAAAATTATTGATTTGCTGCGTTTTTAATTGGAAAATCCTTCATCTGCTTTACATGAGAGATTTTATGTGCGTTTCAGTTTCTCTGTCTCTGTGGGGGGGGCAGTGAAGAGAAATGAAAACCTTAAACCCTAGTTGGGCTTGAAGTAAATGATACGGCAGAACTCTTTCCTTGGAATTAGCCTTTTCAGAAAATTGTCTCTTAATTCCCAGCATTGTGCAATTCAGCTGAAGCCTCATCTATATTTGAGGATTCTCATTAAGGGAAGAAGCCTCTAATCAGAAAAGATAGAAGCTGCCAGCAGAGTGAGTGAAATTTCAGCTGCTGCAAAGTGGATGCAGACTTTCAAGGAAACTGATCTTGCCGAAGGCACCTTTGAAGAAGGGGGGGGGGAGTCATGTACTGTTCATCTTTCTCTGCGAAGAAAGGAATCTGACACCCTCAGGTCATAATACAGTGCAGAGGTGAGAATCTCGGACCTGGTTAGGTTGAAGAATACTATTAAAAATGCAGATAACATCACTGCTGTGACATCAGGGCTCAACCAATGGCCTTAATGCCAAAGAACAATTTTAATTGCGTTTCAAAATGGCAGGGAAGCGAGGGCAACACGAACATTCAGTTGAAAAATTTGGTAAGTAGAAAAACGGTTTAGATTTCAGTTTTTAAAATCTTTTGAACAGTTGATCGCTATTTTAAAAAAAATCTGTTCCCAGGTCTCTCGGAGATTGATCATTACATGCACACTGAGACTGTTCAAGGTGATTGTGGCGCGCTGGTAATTTGTGTTTGTTGTCCACTTCAGTGGGTGGACTCGTACAGTAAGGGCAGCATGACCAGCGACATGTCGACTCATGATTCACAGATCTGCTCACAGAGACTATGACAGGCATGAGTCAGTGTTCTATAGCACACAAGGCAATTGTTTTCTAGTTCTTTTTGCAGGCTTTGCTGAAGTGTATAAATTTCACAAACATAGACCCAGCTAGGGTAAAGACCCTATTAAAAGTAATAGACCAAGACTGATTGTCAATCACTGACAGAACGTGAGTAGGAAATACAGAGGTAGATCTGCATCTTCTTAAGTACGACATCTCCCAGAACAGTAAAGAGTACAGCTGACCTTCAGGCAGCAGCTCCCCACTGTGCTTTCTTGTTACCTTAAATCACGTTAGGAGCAGCCTGGGCTTGGAAGCTGCATTCATAAAGCATATTTGATGCTAGAGTTGCTTCTGCAAAGTCCTTATCTGCTTTATGGCCAGTCAGAAAATGTATTCATCTGGGCTTCAAAGAGGAGCAGAAGGAGATTGTCAGTGGGTCGCAACATTAAGAGTGCAGAGTCAAGGTGTCTCCTAAAAGACAGACCTGAATAGTGGATTACAGTACAATGGTGCAATCAGAAGGGAACATTCAATGAAAGCCCCTTAAGAATTGGAGATTGAAGTTTGTTTTGGAGTTTCCTATGTGTAAGTTTTGCATTAACTTCCCGTGTTTGTCTGGGTTTTCCAGGTTTCCTTCCACAGTCCAAGGATATGCCGGACTGGTTAATTGGTACAATTTGTGCCTTGTGTGTATGTGTGCCCTGTGAGGGCCATGGGTGGATCCCTCGGTCAGAAAAAAAAGCCTACAGGACTAGATCACTTTATTGGCCATATACAATTTCTTGTATTAGGAATTTGTCTTTTCGCATACCCCAACTTGCGCTCCATGAGACACACAGATAAGGAGAGAAGCTTGGGGTCAGAGTGCAGGGTCAGCCATTTATACAGCACCCCAGAGCAGCTGGGGTTAAAGGGTCTTGCTCAGGGGCCCAACGGAGTAGGATTCCTCTGCTGGCTGCGTAATATGAACTGGCAACCTTCCAGCTCGGCGCAGATCCTGAGCCACAGTGCCATCACTCTCCCCAGTGCCAGTGATACAGTGCCATCAGGCTTGGGTACCTTTGCTGGAGGTGATTTGGATTCTCATTGGTTTGTCAGGTTAGGTTTGGTGGCATAGATCCTATACCATTGCTTGCTGGGATAGGCTCCCGCTCCCCTGAAGCCTTGTACTGGTTAGAAAATGGCTGGATAATAGGAAAAAGTAGAGGCTAAATCAAGCTTAATCTGGAGAAATTCCACAGCTGGGACCAGTGTCTCCCTGTCAGTGTGAAATTAGCCCGTTGTTCTTTTCCACCACTCATGCTGGTTCAGCTCTCCACTTGAACCTCTGTAGCGTCTGTTTGCTTGCAGTACCTATGCCTGACCACTGGGTAGCACCTTTTCCATAGACTTTTACTTCAGACTCCAGTGGAATTTGTAAGTAAACACCAAAGGCCCAAAGTAGGCAGAAAGTAATGGTGGAATTAACTTCTAGGTTTTGTTCCTCTGAAACTCTCACCTCTGATGCTCAAGTGCAAGGTCTTTGACCTGTATGTAAAAATACCTGTGATGACCTTTATGCATTCATTCATTGTCTGCAAAATGAAGTATTTCAGCAGATGGAGCAGCTGACAGTTACCTTTATTTTCGATGTACCTTTTGTGACCGTGTCATCAGCGTTTAAACTCAAGAGCATTAGACTATATAAAGGGCACAAACGAGGAGGCCATTTAAATATTCAGAAACCTCCAGAATCCAGACGTTTCTTGAAGGATGCCGGGGTATCAGTTTTATTTTTACCTGTGATTTAAAGTGGGTTTTTTTTTCAGGAAGGTATTTTTTTATACAAGGTATCCCTGTGTCATGAGAATAAGAAACCTTCCTTGCATTTACAATGTATAATATTGTTCATCCTAAGGGATGCTAAAGGACTTTACATCTGGGAGGGACCCTCTTCATCTGCTGCTGGAGAGCACCACTCTTACATTGGTAAATAAAAGGCTTACTAATTAAGAATCGATGGGAAAAAAAATCAAATACCTTACACCAACCAGTCTATTTAGTTTCCAACTAAACAAATTGGCAGTCAGTTTGGCTATTTCTTAAAAGTTCATAAAGCTTGCCGCACTGAGGATTCATGAAAATTCATGTGCCACAACTTTTATTTAGTCAGAGCATTGAGGATTTTATCACTCCATGACAACATTGTTTTTCAGACACAAAGAGGAACTGCCTTCTTATTGAAGTGAAACTTGGCTCTTTTAGAAATTACTTCATACCGGATATTCAACAGTCATGATGAATCACAAACAGTTCGCAAAGTCCACAAGGACCTATTACACGTGTTCCATTCCCACTTATTTATACTGTATATCAGCACTTACATGTTCGTATACTACTTAATAGCAAGTAAATGCTGCTGAAGCCAATGACTACTTTCTCAGAGGGCTGAATACTGTATTTCAGACTCATTTTGAACAAGTATAATTACTGTCGGACAACAGTGCATGTAAAGGAATTCTAACTGTATTCACAGCAGTGGTCCAATCTTTCCTGATGCTTAAATCTCAGAAGCTAAGCAAGACTGGGATGAAAGAGCTTTACCAAATCAATCAATATTCTTCTCATACAGCCCCCTTCAATGCAGAGCATTCTCAAAAGACTTTCCGCCTCTAAGGAAGTGTCATTTCCTGCTGCAAAAGGTGTGAGTGGGCCTCTAGGGTTCTTCCCCTTTGCACCAGTTTCCAGACTAATCCCCTGTATGATGACAGAGAGACACCATGAGCAGGAGGTGCCATCATTTGAATGAGGCAATATACCAAGGTTCTGAGGTCTTGGTCATTAAAGATCCCAGGACATTGATGGTGACAAAGGTCTAAACCACTGGGTTCCAGGGTAATGTAATACCCACTCCAGGCTTGTTCAGTTTGGACTCCTACATTTCTCACTTCTTTGCTTGAAGTGCATCTTAAGGATGAAGTGGGTCCCTTCCTTTATGCTATAGGCTTTGGTATCTCATTTGGAGTGAAAAGTGCTGTATAAATACTAGAAGTTTATTAGAGGAAAACATGATCAAATTCATTTGGAACATGGAACACAAGAAGAACCTATGCTTTATTCCGGGAGTGTCATTTTTGGGAATGCTAGTTAATGAATATTATTTGATCATTATCCATGCTGTTGACTATTTTTTCTTAATAAAGAAAAATAAACTCTTGTGACAGACTAGTTCTTCGTGCATTTCTAAAATTAGGAGGTCTGGCTCACAAAATGAATGAATTTGAACGAGTATCACTGATTCTAATTATATTAAGATCTGACTAAGAATTTGTCAGCAATCGTATCATGCTGTTCTTCTAAAACATCCTAATTTAAAACAATCTGCAGCAATGTCAAGACTCCCCCAATCTGGACTTTCTAGGTCCATGCAGAAGTGTATTTTAAAAATAATTAAAACACTTAATGGTAATGGGGATCTCCTCCACCACCACCAGTGTGCAGCCCTACCCGGATGATGCAACAGCAGCCAGAGTGCTCCAGTACACTCCCCACACACCAGCTCTCAGGGGGGAGGAGAGCAAAGTGATGAGGCCAGTTCAGAGATGGGGATTATTAGGAGGCCATGATTGATGAGGGCCAATGGGAAATTTGTTCAGGACCCCAGGGTAACACCCCTATTCTTTTTGAGAAACACCCTGAGATTTTAAATGATCACAGAGTCAGGGCTTCAGTTTTACGTCTGATCTGAAGGGCAGTGCCTTTTTACACCAGGATTTGTTTGACTGTCAAAAGTAGGACTAGAGCATATATTCACACCTCTACTCATACACCAGAAATGCGTGTTTGTATTTTAAAACCTTTCAGCATTGCCTAGTTACACAACTGCGTTTGAAAAGAATGCATATAGACTTTTTAGTACAACACACAGACTGACAGTTCAGGTTTTGTACCGTCAATGAAATACACGCCATAATATTCACACGATATACATGCATGTAAGGTGTACATATGAAATCATCAGCATACTGATCATTAAGACAGTATTGGACTTTTCCCTCTTGTTTTTTTATTTGCAGATTAAAAAAACAAAAACAAACAAACATGAAACAGTTACAAACTAACTGCTGAAAGTTTAATTTTAAATAATTCTATACATGGCATTTAAAAAAAAAAACACAAAACAACCACTGGATTGGTTGCCCCAATCACGCGGAATCGCCTCCATGTGCTCTCTTGTCCAGGAGAGGGGCCGGAAGGTGCCCCTCATTGGGCACACCCCACAGCACCCACACAATCACTGCCGTACAATATTCGTGCCGAGAGCGTATACAAGGACATTATAAAGGTATCGCCGTTATTCAACAATACTCATTCTAGTGAAACAAAACACAAAACGGGTTTTTGAACATTTAAAACAAGTCGAAAGCAAGACTATGAAGCAGACTTGCAGTTTTCAGGCGAACATCAGAAGTTGGTATCCGATTCTCCCAATAATCATGCCTACCACTGTGCTCTCCAGATCCACATTTCTGAACACCACCCACCACCTCAAAGAAAGAGAATGATTCATGGAAATGCTGTCAAAGGACACAAATGTCAAAATTCACCGACAGCAATACAAAATGAACTTGGACTAGAGTCCTTTCGGTTTATGGGCAGAATTCCTTATTTTCAGTTCTGTGCATTTTATACTGACTGAGCACCACACTTGGAGAAACACTTTGCCTTTCACATACACACAAACACACACTCGCAGACCAAATATGCAGCTCGTACAAAAAAACACAAACATCCGGACATGGTGAAGGCCAAGGGTGGGGAAACACCAGCCGACGCCACGTCCCCACCAGCTCCTCTGTTGTGGCACATCACTCAAAGTAACACTAGCCAGAAGAAAATATTTATTTACAGCAGCACTTCCTATGCAAAATACCCCATTAATAGAAAACAAATAATAGAAAAAAAATGAAAGGACAAAGGGAAAAAAAATCTAATCATTACATTTGTATCACGGTAAAAACCACACCGAGCCTTTAAAAAAAACAGAATTTTTAAATTCTGTTTTTAAAAATATTTACAAACCTTTGCAATGAGCATCGGCCACTGCATAATGGTGTGCGATTGGGGGATGCACTAGAAACTGAGATTTGTGGTAACTTGTTCCATTTATAAAAACTCTTGAGTGCATTTGAAAGGTAGATGAGGCCCTGTATTCAAGTGCTTCAGGATGCACTGCTTGGCCCCTGCCTCTCTCATCCAGGAGACGGGGAGCACCAGCCACTACCTGCCTCTGGGACTCTGCCGAGCTTTGGGGCACAGCAGTCCAGGGGGATACAGCTTGATCGGTATGGGGGGGGTCAAATAATTTCAATTCGATTGTCACAGTTATTCTCTTGTTCACGTGAGGAAATAAGTATTTGCAAAGCTCTACTGCCCTCTGGCTCTTCTGGTTACTGTTGAGAAAGCAAGAGGCAAAAACTCCAGGTCGTGTTTCCACTCACTACAGTGGCTCCCAAACAGGGAGTTTTCTGCATCACGGTTTTCTTATTTTTTGTAATAGAATCATGTGTAATGTTTTTTTTATTTCCTTTTTTTTTGGTGTTTGCATTCTATTAAAATGTACAGGAGCGCTGGGTGTCCATAAAAAAATTCCCTCAGTGGACAAGAAATTCTTATCTTATTTTGGTTTTGGAAAATACTACAGGGCTTGTTTTTAGCGGTACGAGATATGGAGAAACGCACAAAGCCGTCGAACATGGGACTAATTTCTCTTATTTGGTCAACCGCAGTGACCTCTGTCCACCGTTTCCACAAAAGTCTGTTTTTCTGCCTACACACTCTGCAATCGGGCACAATCTAAAATGTGGTTTCACTGTACCTTTTTGTGCCCAAGACATGTTAAACTAGTTTGCAATCGCCTATCATGCTGAGGTAATCTGTCAACATGAAGAGTGACATTTTGAAAGTTCTTAGAAAACAGGAGGAGAATCTGGTCATTTGATATCCAGCATTTACCGACCTGCTGCTTTTGGAGCTTCAGTAAGGAGAATTTTAACGTATAAGATCACCTTACATTTATCCTTATCAGTGTTTAAAACAGAACTCCACTTAAAACATTGTCAAAGACACAAGAGTCTATTCTGAACCCCATTTTCTTAAATAATGCAACACTTACCATCATCCTCACTACGCGCCTACCTTACAAATTCACAAATACAGCTTTTATATACTCCAGGGTGTTCATACATGGCCTTGGCCTCTCTTCGGAGACAAGTCTGCAGTACCCAGAAATCTCTCTCAAATCCATTATAGGAAAAGGGGGAGCATATATAATGGAGTTTTTACAGAGCATTAAGGTTCACTGGTTTGCAAATTTATACATTCTTTTTAGAAGACCACACAACACAATCCGATCTTATATTCTTTCTTAAAAGTACATTTAATTCTATTTATCCGAGGCACCACTAGCAGTGCCATTTGGCCATTCACATCATGAACACCCCCTGCTTTTCGGAAATCACAGTCTAATTTCTCCAGAATGCGAGATCACTGTGCAGGTCTTGGGAAGGCAGTACCGTAAAGTATGTTTGGGGGGGGGAATGGAAAACAAATCCCTCAAAAGCACAGATTAAAAAGGCCATTTAAGGCATCCTTAACAGAAGATCAATAACAAAATTCCAGCTATGGCTTTGGTTTGTTGAAGTTGTGTAGTAAAAATTACATATTCATATGTATATAAAAATTAGTGTCAACACTGCAAGAGCTCATGCAAATGTGTTTGTTCGTTGTGATTTTCTTTTTTTTTTTACAGATACATTTTACATGAGAATCCCAGCTCGGCCACGTCCTTCTATCTCCGCGAGGAGGAAAGCCCAGGAGTCTGTGGGGAATTCACGTACAGGGTCGAGTTGTCAGGAAGAGAGGGAAGCATGGAGTTGGCATTTTTTGGGGAGCAGCTGCGTTTCAGTTTTTCCAGGTACTCGGCGTGGACCGGTTTGTGACACTGCAGGATTCGAATCGCCTCCTCGATTTTGAACCACTCCCGCTTCCGACCTGCAAGGCAGAAGACGGCTCGTGAGAAAAGAGTGACAGCGCACCTCGGAATAGAGCAGGCCGGACCGCCACTGGGAACACTGAGCATATGGGATTCACAGGCCATGTTCCTAGGCCACATTTGGCTGAGTAGGCTGGCAGCTGGTCTTGGCAATACAACCCACCAGACAACAGACCTTAACTAGCAACATCAACCGCAATTGGCAGAATGTGAACCGAAGGCATCTCTGGCTCAGTACCAGGAAAGACTCATCATGACGATCGGCAGCCTTGGGCTTTCACAAAAACAGAATCCTTGTTTTGTTTTGACGGCAGGCGTTTAAAAAATTGGAAAGCAACTACGTTTTCCGTAACCTTCTGCACAGAATAACCCATCGCTGCGTGTTTTCTCGTTCCTGTATGATCATTCTCTCAGTGACGTAATTTTTGAAGGATAAAAAAAAAACATGAATCTTACTGCTGTTAGATGTGCCCTAGATGCCTTCAGAGCGCAGACATATTTTTATATTTGTCCTGAAGCTGTGTAACCAGTGATGGCCACAAGGTGAAGATAGTGCTGTGAGGTACTGTACAGCCTGTTAGGGAAGGGCAGTTTTGTCGGGTTGAAAAGCACTGTTAATGTCGTAAAGATATTTTATTGTGTAAGAGAGAATTTACGCCGATTACACTGTGACAATCCGGTCACACAGCTGCTTTCTTTATATTGCCATTAATTTTTATGATGTGGCTTTCAGTTTAATCTTATTCATCTTTTGTATTTTGTGCTGCTGTTTTTTTTTTTGTGGATGAGCTGGAATTTCTTTATATTAAGATTATTCATGCATTACAACATGGATCTTTACATGACAAGAGGCTGTCCATATTTTATTTTTGAAAGACTTGAAACTGGACTATTAGCGTGTAGGAATTCTAATAGTTACATAGCCATCATGTTAACTAATCAGATGAAAGCTGCAGTCTCAAAAGATTAAATACAAAATATTTTCTTTCTGCAAACAGTGCAACATTAAACCAGGCTATTCAGGAGCCTGAAGAAATCCAGCTACTTTCTGTCATATATACACAGTGCATTAAAGTCTATGGTATTCCTAAAAATCTGTGAAGACCTCTCAGTTGCAAGTCTGTGTAAAGGGGTTTAGTTAGGGGTGAAAGGTCAAGCACTCAGCCAGTAGGATCAAGCCTCTCTTTGATACAGAAAGCGTGCTGCTGGGTAGTCAGTTGCCCCAGGACTGCTGACGCCAACATGTAGAATCACTGGCCCTTTTTTGGGAGCATCTACAAATAGTGCTAGTTTTGAATTACAATTCACTTGTTTGTGAACAGCTCAAAAGGAATTAAAAAGTCAATTAATTAGATGCAAGAACACACTAAAAGCTAAAATGAAAAATTAACAAATTACATGAATAACACAATACATACTTAATGTTATTTCTTAATTTTAATAAGAAGAATTGGTACATTTCAAATTCACTTGATGTTTCAATAATACTAGCACAGCGTTAAGAATTACTAAGCAAGTGATGCAATGCATGCTGTAATACAGCCCATGTTTTGAAAGCAGTTGACTTTTCAGCATTTGATCACGCAGGTGAAAAGTAAATGTTTTGCCACATGTAATGAGCAGATATGAAAAGCGCTACTATGATCCCATGTCATTTGGCAGCTTCACAAGCTTGAATGATGTCAGTTATTTGTGACACCTTGTCCATGGAATGATGCGGCAAGGACTGGACATCAAGTCCACTTAAATACAGAAGTGAATCCAATCTCTTGCTTAATACAGCTTTCTGGGTATGCCTTCAGCAAAATCTCCTGGGACACTGTAACATGACACCTGGAGTGGCAACTATCTCGTTAGGAAGGTGCGAAGAAAAACATAGCTCAAATTGTGCTTTAAATTTTAAAAAAATAATAAAGAAAAGAAAATGTATAAGCCTTCAAGATGAACTACTAAATCTGTTTCTGCTTGTTTTCTTTGAATGGGTCCGATCTTCATTTCTTTAACAGAAAGGACAATTCACAACAAAGCAAAAAAGCATCATGAAAACTTAATTTTCAAATGTACCTTAACCCTGAGCTGGCATGTAATTTACCTTTTATCTCCATGGTAGTCCCCATTTTACAACTGCTGGACTATGACCTCTGTGATGCCAAACCATGTCTTTGTGCTTGCTGCTTTTAAACCCGGTGATTTCAGGTGAATCCGCACTGAAAAATGACCGTTTCATTTACAGAAAAACAGGAAAGTGGAATCTTGACCCACCTTTCTACAGAATGAGCGGTCTTCAGACTAGACAAAGTCAGAAAACCAGAGGCTGCTGTCTCAGAGCCCACAATATTTAAAAACATTAGCAATCTTATCTTGAACATCATGGAAAAATACAGGAATACCATCCCTTCAGAGCACTTGACTGAATTAGCCCTGTGTAAATCATTTAAGAAAGCAACATGGCAAGCTATTGTGTAGTCCTGCCTGGATGAACACATGGGATCTTTCCTCCACAAGTGTATGAAGGACACAGGCGCTGCACTATCTCTGTCACACTCAGCTTCACTGGCTGGGGCTTAGGTGCACTTAAGCTGTGTGCTGACTTTGTGGTTCTGTTAAAAACGATCCATCTTTCCTCTGTGACTTCCCCCCCCCACACCATTTTCATCATGCATGCATTTGCTGAATCTGATCGCCTGCGGCACGGCACCAGCTCAGCCAGTTTGACGTCGCACTGGCCAGCAAAAGCGATTTCTTTTCGGCAGGCACGCCGTAAGAAATGTGAAAAACAACTACAATGAAATAGGATCGCCCAGACACAACACACGCAGCAGAGTACCTGTTTCAAGGTTCCTGCTTGATCGAGGGGTTTAAAAACATCCTACATTGTAAAAAGCATAGCTGTTGTCTTGGCATTTCCTGAAAATGAGTATAGGGTTGCCAAACCCCAAGTCATGGCCTACCTGGAGATGAATAGTTATAAGGAAACTAGTTTGTTTTTACACTCATTAACAGTACACAGGGTTTGGAAATTGAGTATTGTCAACTTGGGGCAGATAGTTACTGTATGCAAAATTATTCTGATCTGTAATCAAAACTGCCTAAGCAAATCCTAAAGGTACCATTACAGTACCTAGGAACTGTAATGGCCATCTATAGAGTCTTAAAACACAATAGCAGTTTTTTTCCCCACAGCCTCAGAGAGAATTTTGCCCCCCCCAGGTAAATTCCAGCTGTTACAGATGTGAAGCTCCCATATCCTTTGCACTGCATTGTTTTAGCTGATGTGCTCATATCTCCACATCCTTTTTTTATGAGGATTTTTATGGGCATTATAAAGACAAGTCTGAAGTTTAACGCTCCTACAATAAATTCCTTTTCAGTGAGGCGCACTTCACCTTAAACCTTATCCAAGGGCCTTAATATAACTGCAAGCATGAGGTTTTTGCTTTCTTTAACCATTGAAACCCCTAAATTAATAACACAATCTTCACCTTACCAGTTTACCAAGTTCTGGAACCCTATAATGGTCTTTTTAAATTTCCACTCATCTGTTCCTGACCAAAACATCTGAAAACAGTATTCTGTTTTTGGTATTACTTGATGGTAAATGCCAAACAGCATTAAAAGCTCTATTAATGTTAAAATGTGGGCTAAACGGAGAAACTCCTTTTCTGCTACTAAAACCTACAGCTATACCCTTTGCACAGATGTTCATGAAATGTTCTTTTTAGGGCTTTGACATTCTAAAGACATGAGAATCTGCTTAGCTAAACTGAACCAGCTGGTTCCCCCACTGGTGTGCTAGATTTTAACCAGAAACAGTTTTCAGTTTCCCAGATTAAGGTAATCCTAATAATTAATATGAGCATGACTGATATGACAATCCAACCATCCATTTCCTAACTGCTTCTTCCAATTCAGGGTCACAGGGGAGCTGGAGTCTATCCTGTCCATCTCAGGGCAGACACACACACACACTCGCACCAGGGCCAATCTTTCCAAAAACTAGTTTATCTACCAGTATGTTTTTGGACTGGGGAGGGAAGCAGAGCACCATGTGAACAGGCAGGGAAATACAATTAATTAAAAGATAGCACCCCAGGTCCAGAATTGAACCCGGGGCCCCGGTTCTGTGAGGCAGCATTGCTAACCACTTCGCCACCGTGCCATGCTGATGACAACCAATAATCTAAATCACGTAGGTGGTGTACACAATGATGGGACTGATATCATTAAAAGTGTATTTAAACCCAGAGAAAAATGATCCCAAAAGCAAAACTAGACCTTACAATGTAAATAAAGTAAAATGTGTTCCTTATTCAAACTAATAGTAAAAAAAACAATAAAACTGAGTGTTACATAACAGAGAAGGCTATTTGACCCATGTTGATGATTACCAACACTTAAATTCCCTTTTACTTTTATACCCAAGCGTGTCTCCACATTGTGGCACACAAGTCATTATGAACAGAGAACATGCAAATGATCTTTCCTGCAAATGTCCCAGTTGCCATAGAGGAGATGCTGACAAACATAATGGCTGTAAGACCAGATCAGCCAGATATAAAGGCACCTAGTGGAGGCTCTTGAAGAGACAGAATTTTACTGCTTCCCCATTTACAATTGGTCTCAAAATCCTATCGACCCATTAGAAAATAATATTAACTGCATTCCGAAGCAGATTGTCTGGGGAAATAACTGCAGCCTTCCAGAGATTTTGTTTTTATATACTTGGCAGAGATGTATTCAAAGCCGTTGTATACAGTTTCAAAGGGATATGTTGATTCAGTATTCGGCTGGTGCACGCCTCTCTCTGCATTTTAAAGTGTGGCTTTTTTTTGGGGGGGGCAACATCTAGCCATCTTCATTGTTTACATGTGAAAGATTCATGGGCTTCCTCGGAGGTCAGCAAGACTATATATTTTGAGCTAAAGACGGGGCAGAACAAAGATGTCATTTGCATAAAAAGCTTCTTTCACACTTACGATATCCTGCTCTTTATGCCTCTTTAAATGGCATTTCACATTCAAACACGTCTTGATTCTTAAACGCTATTAATCTTAAGAACGTGCACTGTCACGGAGAAATCAAGCTGAAGCTTTGAAAAGACACAAGGACTCTGGTTGTGGTGCGAGGTGTGTGTGGGGGAATTCCACGTGTTTTATAAGTCACTTCCAAAATCCTTGAAGGACTCCCAGCTGAGCAGAAGGGAGCTTTAATTAAAGCAGCTGAGCAACACTGGGTTTGAAACACAACGGGTCACAACGAGGTTGCAATGGGAGGCGTATTTCTGGAGGGTCAGCTTAGTGCGTTGATGCACCGTGAGATTGAAAATCACAACTCCGTAAAGGTCAGAAGTTCGTACTCCAAGTGAGTAATGGGCACTAGTCCAACACCTGAAGATCACTGAGTTGAGGACACACAAAGGAAGCCTTAGGAAAAGGTGAAGCAGAGCCTGTTACTATTATAATATAAAAGTAATATAAGAGTGGCTGGGGCAGCCGTGAGGAGCAGTGGGTAGGGCTCTGTGCTTATAACTGGCAGGCTGTGCACACAAATCACAAATCAGGTGAGGCACTGCTGTTGTACTCTTGAGCGAGATGCTGGAACAATTCATATGAAGTGCAATGCTCAGCTGTTGGAATGGGTGCAAATGTAAGACACTATGGATTAAAGCATCAATCTAATAAATGAGTAGTATTTTAGGTAAATGCAATAACTTACCAATATTGACTGAATCCTCCCAATCTTCTAATGTCTCCGTCACTGTGAGAACATATACATATGTTCTATGCTTCCTGTCTTGATTCTGCTTGAAATACAAGATGTAAATATATATTTACTGGACTTGAAACCCACAAAGAGTGTTAAAATAGTATGGCTGTAAGATGCATCTACTAAGATGTGGAAGGGAAAAGACTAGATATTCACCTCAAACACTCCCAGGAGTCTTCCCAACTTGCCTTTCACACCGGCCTGCAGAACACAAAAAGACATACAGAACAGTCAGTTTCAGTTCAGTCAGTTTGCTCTGAAATCCACTGTCCAAAGCTTGATCATGTGGTCACCAGAACAGAAGTCAACGGTAGATGTGTATCACATTGTAAGGAAGTGGGGGCGAGAAATCTCCCTGTTTATAACATTCTCTTAAACTTTAACCCCATTCCTCTTCCACAAACACAAAAAGAGTCCGATTTAAAAATACCGCTGATCCACGCGAAATAGGAAATAGTCTGCAAAGAAGTGGCTGATCAAAGACTTCAAAAATGTCCCAATGGCACCTGGCACTCACTAGACACATCAGGGTTTAGTCAGTCAATAACTGGTGGCCCCTTACTGAGGCCATTCTGTAAGGTATGTATGTAATGTAGACTCATTTTGAACCAACCTTCTCCACTCCTCTACCACCAGAGAATCATTGTGTCCAGCTCCTTCACAGCATGATAGCAGCTCGGTTTTTGGCAACCCTTTCACTATAACATTTTCTGTGTGTTCAGTATGAATAAACGAACCAAGAGCCAAAATACTGAGACATAAAACCAAGTATCCATGGAAACTAGTCCAAAAAAGGACTTTGATGGCACTGTAGTTCTTTCAAGCTTTAATGCTGGATAAAAAACAAATAAAATCTCAGTCATTTTTGCCAAGAGCTTTACTTAGACTTTCCTCATTATGAAATGTGGCAGGGTGGACAAGAATATAACAGTAAAATGAAATGTAGCTCAAAGATTAGGATCAGTAAAACTGTGTGGACCTTATAAGATTCCTTCTGTGGTACTATTATAAGGTTAATGAAGAAACAGTATTCTGGAAGCTTGTTTTTCACACAGTAGATGACTAGTATTTTAGCTCCTATCCTAGACATCAACAACAAATATTATATAGAATTAGTAAAGGCTTTTGAAGTGCAAGTTCCAGGACTCCTTCCATCTTGTTTTACTACTGAGCATTTTGGAAAATGCCGCTAAAGTTGCCTAAAGCTAACATTCCCCCAAAACTCATCACAAGAGCAGAAAAATGAATAGAAAGAACCTCAATTCTGCATGTCTAGAGGTCTAGCTTCATGAGTTGGAAACTCCGTCATTGTGCAGTAAATTTCTCTCTGACTGGCCCATGTATGACTCCACAGACAGAACACATATTCAAGGGGAACTGCAGTCCCAATTTCTCAGACTGGTTACTAAAGGTTGGTAACAAAATAAACCCACTGACACTATAGAAAAATTTGACAAATTCCAAATTAAGCAAAAAATTGTGAACGTTGCAAAAGTACTGGATAGTCGCCGTGTTGCAGAAAACCCCTGGTCTTGCCAAGTGCAAGATCCCACGAATTGGGAAGTGATGCGGCCCTTCCTGCTCTCTAGTCACTGCAATAACTAATGCAATGAGATATAGGAGCACACAGAGTTAACAAGTTCCATTTATCAGCAAAACTGTCTTGAAGTTGAAGGCAATATTTCTATTGAATTAAAGAGATGTATTCATAAGCCTGCTTGTTTACAATGCAAAAGGGCTGCTTCACGTCACAGGAAGTTTTGTTGCCTCGTTCTGAATTGCAGAACATGGCACTGTGCATACTTGGAAATTTCATCTATTTTGTGATGCAAATTGGAGATTTAACATGTTACGGTGCACATTTCATTGTGGTTTGAAATGCACTCATCAATTGCTGATTCTTTCTAACCCCAGAATATAAAAATAGCACAGCAGTTCCACTTTAAAATGTAAAGAATGAGAATACAAATAACCTCCTACCTCCCTCAAGCTGTTAAAGCTATTAAATATTTTAGTTTCTGTAAGTTATTGAGCCTCCATGATGCTATTTCCACCAACGGAGTCTCTCCAAGTATTTTAGGAAAGGAAACAAAAGTGTTTACATTACTCTGCCAGTCTTTAGAGTGGGAAGTTATGTTTACACAGAGGGATTACATGGTTTTATATTTCATATAATTAGGTAAGGCTATGTTTTTATTTCAGAAGAAAAACACCCACTCTTACTTTACATTTCTGTGGGTTTGGAAGAGAAGCTCCTGTTGTTCATCAGTTTACACAACTATTTTCATTGCAGCTGTTACCTTCCACAAATAGCTGACATATTTCAGCAAGACTAAACACCGTTCAGAATGATGCAGTCTTTATTTCCTTACTGTATCATATGAGCCTGAAGCAAACCCTGCTGTTCTGTGTTCCAATGTACTACTTTGCCTACTCAAAATATTCCTGTCTACTGTTAAGATCCTGCCATCCATCTTTAAAACTGTGATCTTCCTTTTTAAAGTGATGACTACAACCATTTGCAACACGCTGTCAATTTCTTACCTACAGCAGTACGAGCCTTGACTCATTGCTACAGCTCCATAAAACGGGCTCTATCAAAGGACATCTGGAAAAAGACAACTTAAAAGGGGACTATCAGTGTAAAACTAAACTATCCCAATTTGCAGCGCAGTCTATTTGACTATAACTGCATGCTCCAAAGCCATTTCCATAATTTCTCTCTGCCTTGCCTCTCAGCGAGTCTCTTCTACCTGAACAGCGTAACGTATCCTGAGGTTTTTTGACACATGACCAGCGTTGGGAAATGAACACAGGACAAAAGTAGACCCCATCCAAGTCAGCAGGCAGCAATATTATTAATAGTACTAATCTTAACGAACATTAACCTTAATTTTTGGTCAGCTGCATTTGCTTAGGTATCGAATAACAACCTTCACCAACAGGTTTTTCCACACCTAACATGCATTATCATGAATAAAGTAATTAAAGATGAGCAAAAATATACTCCACTCAGTTGTAACTTATGTTCTAATGAAAAACAGAGATATGAATCATCGCATTTCTACCGAGTAAAAATTCTTGTTTACATGCAAACACTGAAAAGACCCCACAGGGTGAAGGGAAAGATACACGCTACCAATATCTTGTGCAATAAAACTGAACTGTGAAAACCGATGATGTTTTGACAGGTAAGTGATCACTGCTCATTTGGGAGCGCAGTATGGAAAAAGGATTAACACCTAGTGCTGTCCCTAGCCAGCAGGAGTGCCCGTCTACCTGCATTACTCCATTCACACAGAGGGATTACCAGTAACAAGATACACCAGTCAGGGGTAGGCCCAGCCTGCAGGGAGGACACACTGCTGTAGCTACCAGTTAAACACTGGTAGCGATGAGAGTATCAGATCTCGCAGTTTCTTTCACAGCTCAAAAGAACCTTGTGGTGGTTTTCAGTTGCGTTTCGCCTACCGTATATTACAAAGCACCTCTAGTGCTCATCTATTTTTCACCAGTCTCTTTTGTGTTATTTTGGTACATTACATATAGGATGAATGTCTTTGAGAGACAAAAATCTATAATCCACATCACTTGACTCCCGAAACTGCCTTCATTAATTCATGTCATCTTGTTCTGCAAAACTGAGATTTTCAGTGCCTCATGGAAAAGAAAAAAGACAGATCCATCAGACTTGTGTGTCTTGAGTTCATGAAGTCCATGCAAACAAACAATGGTACCAAGCAGAAGATACTAAAAACCAGACCAACATCTTGACTCTTAACTCTTGCCCATAGGACTGTTTACATGCATATTTCCAAATAAATCTGATACCCACAAAAGCAGAAATTCTCTTTTCCTTGCCTTCAGGATATAGACTAAAATGGTGAGAAGTCTGAGTTGCACTTGAAGAATGCAGTGTAACAAAATATTATGGTTTGGATGTCTGAACAACGAATGCAACCTTTATTCCAAAGGGTTAGTGTGTCACATGAATCCCTGGGATTAAGTTACAACCTTGTTTTACACTGCTGTGTACATGATGTTTGTTGAAGCATATTTATTGATGTTAAACATGAAATACTATTGCATGTCGGCAAATCCAAAATTTAATTCAAATTTCTTTTCATCCTTAAGAAAAAAAACAACTCAGAAAAACAACGAAGGTCCTTAAACAGCTTAACGTCTTTAGGCTGTGGGAAATGTGCAGATAATGCCTCCATCTACTGAGGGATGTGAAATACATTGTAACTGCCTGATGAATGCAGTGTGTTCTATGTCTCAGGTGACATACTGTCTCCTTTTTGCACAGTTGGCATTTCTACCAGTAGCTTGCGCAATATTAATCCCCCTGGAACACATCAGCCTTCTCTCCCTCTCTCTCTCAGCTGCAGACAGGATTGACTTTTCAATTAGCATGTGACAGGCTTGAGTGTTTTAACATCTCAGTCTTGCCCTGACAGAACTGTCTTCTATAGATCTTAAGAGTTTGAGAGGCAGCTACTTCAGTCCAGTGATTTGTGGATAAGGCACAGCCTGGATCTGGTGCCCAGATACTGCATGTAATCATGTATTGTGTACTTGGGAGGGAGTACAGAACTGTGTATCACCTTTACATTTATCCTAGCAGGAGTGTCTGGATTGGACAACCCTTATGCCAAGTGGGGGTTTTGTTACCTCTCAAATTTAATTAAGTGGCAGATGAAAAACCTGGCTATTTTCTTTAATACCTTTGGGATCATCTGTAGGTCTATCCTCATTCTCCAAGGCCAACAGACTGCATAATTAACAACCAGTGCAGTCTCATCATGGTTCAAGAAGAACTTCTACAAGCATCTGATTAGAGGTTCTGCTCTGTGGAATCTTCTAGAACTGATATTTTAGTTTGCACTGAATCTTCAATTCACAGTTTTACATAAACTCCAATCTTGTGTACAGTAGGTAAAACATTCTCATTTTATAAGCCATCCACATCCAGCGCAGGTTCCTAAATTGTTTCAATTCTCTGCAACAAGCAGCTCTTAAGAAATACCCATTGCAACACCACATCTGCAGATCTTGCATCTGAGACCTTTGAATGTGCGGAGGTTGTTATTCTATGTGTCGTCTTTAAGTCTTTGCGTAACCTGAGCCTCACGTGAGTTGGAAGAGTCCCACTCCTAGCCTTTGCGTGAGCACAAATCGATAAATAATTGCAATTCTCTGTATGAATAAAAAAACATGTTACTCAGTGAGAAATAACTTTTAAACCCTGTAATTAAATATAGAATACACTTAGAGATCTAACAAAGGTGGCGAGAGAGAGAGAGAGAGATGATACACAGAGGATACCGCATGTAGTAAGAAAAAAACAAGATGAGGTGTAAAATGAAACTCAGGTGGAGGTTAGGTAGGCACATTTCCCGGAATTTAAAACATTTCTAAATGGCCTTTGAGAGGTTTTTACGTTAAGACAAACTGACATGTTTTAAGAGTTTACCGGCAATACCAGAATCTACACCACTCTTACAGATTATCCACGCTACTTACATCAGTAATGTGTTGGCTTTAAATACTTTTAGTATCTCCGTAAATCACATTGTTATTTTTACAGAATAGAATGCCCCGATGCAAATTATGAATTGTAATTGTTACAATTTCTTTGTATTTAATCCCACACTCAACAAAAGAAAGTTGAAAGAGCCATAGCATGAATGAGAAGGCAAAGACGAATTGACTTGATTAAATCAATTCTAATGCTTAAATGGCTTGAGAGTAAATTGGCAGCTTTGTTACAAACATATAGTGTAATCTGGTAATATGTCAGAAGCTAAGCAAGGCTGGACCCGTTTAGTACTGGGATCTGAAACGTCTAAGAAGAACCAGGCTGATGAACACATCTGTTGGTGGCGCTCTTTCCTATGGGCCAGAATTGCCTAACTGATGCCCTTGTAGTATAATTGGTCATCAGAGGTGCACAGTTTGTAAGAGTATGGGTGTTAAACCTGGTGTCTTGGCTAAACTCCACTCTGCGTTTGCACAATCTGACCTCCCTAAAAGTTCACCAAATTCAATGGGTACATTGTTTTCTCACCATCCCACCTGATCTTCTGTGTTATGCAGCTGCTGACCCAGGTGGAGGCTGAATTTCAGCAGGTCCTTTCCTATGTTCTAAGTGTTTGGGGATTAAAAATGCCACAAAACATACTATTTTTTACTATTACCATTTTTATAAGTGGGGAAAAAATAGTCAAATCCATACCCACTGTTTAACTTGAAAATTCCATAAATATTTTTTTTTCATTTGTATTATACACACAGAAAACAAATGAAGTTACTTTAGGATGAGGTCAAATATTATAACCTTTACTCTTGTTCATATACAATGTTCATGTTTTTCAGATGTCAGTGGACAGCTCCTTCATCAACCTGATGGAGAAAAATATTTTTAAAATATGCTGATTTACTTAAATTTCCACATTAAATATAAAAATTCAAAGACTGACTTTACTCACTTTAAAATTAAGTGCTAGTGGGGGAGGAGTTCTGTCACGTGAGCTGTGTAAGTTACAACACACTGAAAAATACAAGGTCCCCTTGCAGGGTATATACCTACTGACCGGGAGGTCAGGACAGAAACATGAAGCCAGAGAATGCACCAGCCCCGGTGAATTATACAGGAGCAATCATATTTCACAAATGTCAGCAGATTCTCCTTTTCCTGACTCGCCAAAATTTCTCACCATCTACTCTGAAGTTGCACTTTTTCTCCGAATTTTCACTTTGTAAAACGCAACAGGCCACCTGAGTGAAAGATCATCACAGCATGGTCCAGGCATGTCAAATGTCTGGATATGGACTAGAATATCCAGACCACAGACCACAGCAGCTAGCCAGCAAGTTAACAAAGAACATTTCCTGAGGATATAACCTCCATACTGGCCGTTGCTAACCACACAAAGAAATTGATTTCTGTCCAAGAGAAGTCTTCATTCAAGTCATAAACAGGGACAATTCACAGACTTGATCTACAATATATAGCATAAATATTGAAACCAAGGTAGAAAATTCTCTAAAATGAACTTTAATTTCTGTGCACAATCTTAACTTTCAAATGCAAAGAGCTGCAGTGAAACCTCTTTTTAAAATATTGGTTGTTTCCATCATCTTGTCCTTGTATATTTGGAAGACTGCTGGACAATGTAGCGCTATATTTTAGATTTCACAGTGCATTGCATATGTACAGAGTGACCTCGCAATCCCTACAGTCATCAACAATGCTATAGGTTTCATCAATAATTTTCAGAAACTTTCATAACTTGCATTTTGTAAATGTTTTCAAACAGTATCACATTATTCTCACAAAAAGGGAAAAATTATTTCATAGAAATAATCTGCCTATAAAGACACCTGAGTGTCTGAATCGGACCTCACTCCCTCACACACAAAAAGTTATAACACAAACGTGACACTACAATCTAAGACAATCGTGTCAGTGAAACACAAACCAGTGGAACCTAAATGGAAGTTAATTTAACATCTAGACAATTAAGCACTTCTTTACCCAAAGGGTTGTGGGAGTTTGGAACAAGCTATCCAGACATCTTGTTGAAGCCGATATCCTGCATTCTTTTTAAAGAAATGCCTGGATGAGATCCAGGATTAATACACTACTAAGTAACAAACAGGCTAGCAGGGCTGAATGGCTCCCTCTCATTTGCAGGCTTTATGTTCTTATGTTGTGGAAAGAGCAGATTAAGGGCAATGTTAAAAAACCTTCAGAACAAAGCTGACAATGCTTCTGAGATTAGCATATTTGAACAAAGAAGTTTGGGCTTTGTGGCAGGAACGTTTCACTATATGTTACATTTTCATTCACTTTCCCACAGACTAGACAGTTTCACTACCAGCCAGGCCATAATCACTGCTCTGCCTTTTCTCCAGACAGACAATTACAACTTCCACAACTGCTTTGTCTGTCAGGGAGGTAGGAGCTGCTCTGCCTATCCAATTCACGCCCAATTTGTACAGACAATTAAGCTCCTGCTCATTACAGCACTACAAGTCTGTGTGATGGGGTGACTGAGTGTAGCCCCCATTTCAGTAAATCACATGTGCATCACAACAGGATGTACACAGCCTGTTTTCCCAACAGTCGGACACCACATGGTGTGATCATTCATCTTGCACAGCACCCACCAAAAGAAAAGTCCTCATAGACGGGTCTTGCCATAGTCAGCACCTTGTTAGGCAGTCATTAAAAATCTTAGGAAACTAAGAATTTAGTAATAGGTTTATTGGTAGGGGTAAAGAATTAAGACATTTTAGTTAAAACCTTGCTACTTTCACCTTAAATAAAAGAACAAACCAGATGATATGTCGCTGCAATGATTCATATCCAAGAGGGTACAAAAGATAACTGGGCAGTTAACCTAGATACAAACTGCTCAAAACGATCATCTGTTCTTATTAATACTTCTCAATTCAATGAGCAGTCTGCTGCAATTTGGGACTAACGTCTCATGGTGGGGATGTGTGAAGAAATGGCACATCAAGGTTATGTTATATCTGGAGGAAAACTGGTTGTGGGCACCACAGGTGTGATATGGCCTGGTGGAAATATGTTCATTTAAACCAGGCTCAGATAGAATGGGCTGGGATTTTTCCACCTTGTAAGGAACATTACTTTAATATCTGCGGAACATAGAACTAGTACATGGAACAATTAAGTTGCATTTTTAAACAACCTAATATACATTGCAGTAAATATATTTTTCTTGTTTAGGTGGGTAGCTGCATCAGCATGCGAAGGCTGAAAAGGAACAAGTAATAGGTTTATTCCATCCTGAAAAGAGAAGAAAGAAAACTCAACGTTTCTGGTGAAGAAGGCTCCACGGCTGAAACGTTGAGTTTTTGTTCTTCTCTTTTCAGCATAGAATAAACCTATTACTTGTTCATTTATGAATTCACTGACATATTAAGAAACAAAACTGAAAAATATGAAGAATCGCAAGATTTTCCTTCTTGAAAAGTATTTTTTCTAAATACTAAGTAAATCTATTTATAATGCCAACTTTTCACAGAAAATTCAATTTAGCCCTATGCAAACTTTTGTTCACAGGAAGGCAACTGCTGAATGACCTGTACACAGTGCTCAGAACATTGTGTCCACAGGAATGTTAATAATCTGAAATCACACATTTAACAGTATATAATATCATGTTCTCTTTGTTACTTGAGTTACTTGCAAAATCGAAAAACTGAAAGAGAGAAAAATAAAACAGAAACCACAACAAAAACAATAAAGCTAATATTTAATCCAGTTCTGTGTCCGTTTGCCCAATATGTACGTGAGGTTTCCTGTTTAACCTAGGTCACCTACTGTAGGTCTAGGTCTGGACCCATCAGATATAAACATTCCTTACATATTGGTGTCACGCACGATATTGGATGAAACCAAAACAGCTTGGTTATAGGGGGAGGTTAATTATTTGGTGTCATGTTAATATATTTTGGAGCACAGGAGTTGTAAGGAGCTTCATTTTCAGCGTCTGACTGTTGTGTTTGATTTCAGCAGGTCTGTTTTATGAACTGCTCGACATTGGAAGCTATAAGCATCACAAGTCATTTCACGCTGGTTTTCAGGAAACAAGAGGCAGTGAAGATGTTGAAATGCAGGAACCGGGTTTAGTACAGCCTAAGGATCACGTGGACAATAATATTCATTTTTGAAAAGGTTTGCATGTGTCAAAACATGTTTATGAATCATCTGCTTTAGAAGATATAACCCTGGGCACTTTAAGTGGAAATGGATTTTAGTCTATTGCAGTGGTGCTGGTTCACACTTTAATTATATCTCAGTCCAGAAACACACTGGAGGCACAGCTGCCACAGCAACAAGTAATGCAAAGGCTTCAGAAGGTCAGCACACACCCATATGAATTTCATGAATCTCCACAGTCGTAAGATTGACAGTTCACAGCTAGGTTTAGTGCATTTGTCATTGGTTTTGTGTGACAGAGCCTGATATTTTAATTTTGCACCTCTTGCACAAAAAGATAGAAACTGTACATCTTCCTTGCATTTATAAACATGTGGGCGCCAGGTCCACGATGGCCTGTGAAGGACTCTCACCTCCTCGTAGACCTCCCGCACTGCTGCGCCACACGGTTCCTCTTCTGGCTCCATGCCCCCTCCTGGGACAATCCACTGGTCCGGGTGCCGACTGCTACTGACCAGCAAGACCTGTCAGAAAGGGACAAGGTGGTGAGTTTTGCGACTTGTACTAATGGACAGGGACAAGGAGATGCAAAAAAAAACATATCCGATGCACTGTAGCTTCTGTCAGAGCAAGTCTGAAATCTGAAGACCACAGCTGAAACGGGTCATCTGACCCATCTTGTTCTTTTGGTTGTTTCTATTGGTTGAACTGAAATAAACACCCCAAACAAGGAATAATTCTCCGTATTAGTAGGTCGTCGTTTGATAGAAACTAGGTAAAACTGGAGTTCCTGGGGGAAAAAGGTCACCCTGTTGTGCACGTGAACCCCAATCACACAGCTGTCCTCAACTGGAATGGAAATCCGGGACTAAGCAGTTTTGAGACAGTAGTGCTCCTCTTCCTAGCACGCCAGTGAAGCCCCTCTCCGGTGTTAGTAAATAAATAAAATTAAGTAAATAAAAAAAAGGTTTTAAAAAGTAAGTGTTGGACCAAAGCATACCTCATGTATCAAAAAGAGTCACTTCATTAAACCTATCGTAAACGTTTTTCGCATTCAGGCCTGACATGCCAATGTGCATTTCCTGTGGCTGGGAATTAATCATGCAGTATGCACACACCTAAGGCAGCTGGGAGACGAATAAGCTCTGCGTTCAAAGGGGTTGAGATTTATAGCTGCCCTAAAGCATCTTCTGTAGTTCCACACATACTCAGTAAAGAGGCTACAGGACCGGAGTCTTTAAAAGCCACAGACTCGCATTTTATTTATGGATTTCACAACGTGCTTTAAAGACATTTTTTGAGTTGGGAAAACAAGAAAGGGTTTGCAGGAAAAGTTTTTTTCTTCATTTTAAATCCATCCCACTCCATAAACTTCATAAAAAAAAAACAAATGCTGCTCTTCAGACTGTGTAAAAGCTCATACCCAATACTAACCCCATGCCATTTGCGCAGTTTCAGAGGTCAGCTAAAACAGCTTAAAATAAACTCCTGCCAGCAGTCCTCAGTACTGTGTGTTCCTGACCACTAGCGCATTAGCTAAGTGACCAGGGGCTTGGGGAAATATCTCCTCTCACAGCAAATGGCAGCTACTGTGCAAGTATGTTTTGATTGATACAAAAGGATATTAAGCAGGAATTTACAGACAGATTGTCAATCGCCCATTTGGTCTGCAATCCCAAGGAGAAACATTAATAAAAAAATGGCCCTGACATTCACAGTCCTATAGTGCTTGAGGTGAATTTGTGATTGAATTAGTCTGCAGCTTCAGGGCTCAGGTATTCCAGTGGTCCGGCTGCGTGCGCCCACACACTTTGTCTCAGGTAGGCCCAGGAACTCTAGGAAATGGCTTTCGATAGTGAGGGGTTGAAAATGCCTCATACGGTCTTTTAAAACAAAAGCAGCTGCAATTCCTAACCTTTTACTCTTTCCATCCTAACATTCTGCTATCTGCAGGACTCTATCAAGAATTCTCTCCTTTCCCCATGCGAGTTACAGACTTCTGTAGTTTCTAAGCAGAGATATGAGCACCATGACGCAGTGCTGCTGCTGTGAGGAGAAGCTCTCCCATCTGTTTCTTAATTCTCTGGCCCCAGATAACCTCCGTGCTCTCACAGTTCTCAGTTTCTCCTTAAGGAAGAAACCAATATTCTTCATAATTTTAACCACCCTCATCCTTACTCTTGGTGACCCTGAAGTTTATTTTCAACTAACGCCCTATTAAATAAATTTACAGTGGTGTTTCCATTTTGTTTTCTACCAGTTATACTTCAAACACACCCAACACAGTCACAGAACAGTAGAACCACCTTGAAATAAGGCACCTTAAGGAACAGATTCAGTGGAAAAAATACTCCTGTAGATGATTGGGTTAGAACACTGAAATAGGGTTTTACGTTACAGTAGGTTTTATCCTGTGCATGAAAAGGTGATTAGAGAACACATGCAGACAGTTATGAGATCATAACTCACAGTACATTGCTGGAAATGATCAAATTAGAGACAGCTGTCCTAAAAATGTTTAATTAAAATAAAAGTAATCAGTATTTGGAGAGCGAGGAAACAGGCATTAATGCTCAATAAATTAAACGTGGAGAGCAGCATTAGGGAAGATGTAAGTGATGGACGAACAGTTTCTTTAGCCAGTGTAAGCATGTAATTACAACCAGCAGGGTAAGCGAGGGGTGGACAGCTGCTGTCCTCAAAGTGAACCGTGTCAATGACCTGCACCCATTTCAGGTTAAACAACCGGCCTCGACGACGACAGCAAAGCTTCTTGTGGCACTAAGACGAGACCCTGCCTGATCCGCTGTGAAACATGGGCCATTTCTGGAAATCGCCGGCTTTTATTTTTATTTTTTTTATCTATGCCCTTCACACACACACACTATGAGGCACACTGAGCTCTCTATCCATCAGTGGTGTTTGGTTTATAGGACAGTGACATTATGGTCATTGCAAATGATACCACAGGATAGACCTGGTGCTCCAATGTCCTGTTGACCAGGACCCATGCTCATGCCACAGCAATCCATTCTGTCATGCGCTTTTGAGTGGGGCAAGTGCACTTCACAAGTCAACAAAGGTCTTCAACTTGATTCTTTGTTCCTGTGAACGGTTTCATATTTAATAAGCCACTGATTACATAACGCAGAGAGACCTCTCTAAGTATTTTCAATATACAGAAACATTAATAAATGACACCCCTCTTCTCAGGAAAATAGGTACCGGCATGGATTTTTACAAGATCACATCATGGGCAACACCAGACAGCCCTGCAGCCATAGGCACCAGTATAAGGTCAGGGAAGGCCTCTGCACCAGGACATGAACCCGCTGCAGTGGCCAGCCTGCTAGTACTGCTGACAGCAGAATCACTGCAAGCAGTCATGCGAAGTGCAATTGTAGAACTGCTGAGCTGCTGGATGGCAGTGTTGCATTGAATCATATGGAGGCTTTGTAAAACTTTGAATTCAGCATCTGCCTTTCTGCCTGCAAACCAAAAGCTTAGCTCGGGTGTTAAGCAAACAACAGAACTGCATGTACTTACAGTCATAAAATTGCCCAAAAAAATCTGCAGTCTGGGGGCAAATTACTGATAGGGGGAGAAGCTAGAAATTCTTATTTTGTTCCATGTGGTGTAGCGATCATAAATGTTGATGCTCCAAAGAAATCAGAGGGAAGCAAATACAATTAAATCTTAAATCTATTAGTTCAGATGTGCAAAGCAAAAAATAAGACCAAACAATTTGATCTGTTGTAGATTCCATCAGTCCTCTGATTGAGCATGCAAGTGAACAGACACTTCAGCAGTGCCAACAATTTTACAAAGCTGCTTTTGGTGTTAGACGTCTGAGAACGCTCTGGATTTAGGGTAAAAAAAAAAGTTGCCAAGTTTCCTGTGGGATACAGAGGAATAGAAGCTAATAGAAGCTGAAGCTATAACAGCTCTTGTGCCTTTCAAACCTAAGACTCCCATGAAATCCAGGCTGAATTAACTATCGCGTCAAAGCTGAAATTCTCACCTGACTCTAAAGGTTCCTTAAGCACCTATGAAAAAAAGGTCCAAATACACAGAATTGTGTACGTGGTTCACTGCCAGCAAAAGGAAAACAGGACCAAAAAGAGGGACCTGGTGTCATGCAACTTTTTCCATAGGCCCTGATTAAATGGTGAAGAAAAACAAAACCCAACAACGTTTAAAATCTTGAGGAAGAAAAAGAGTCAGATCTAAGTGGCTACATCTCACTTTCTGATGCATCCTGTGCAGGTCAGCCCTGACAAAGTGCATGTGGGAAACCCCCCTTTCCAACTATAAAAAAGCCTTTAGGAAGGAAAGCACTGCTCTCTCCAATGCAGAATCCTTTGGGAACAAAGAGTCACCTAGTTGGATGGCGATCAGATGGCAAGTGGTACAGTGCCAAAGGCAGGTGTCCTGAATGGGCCATAAACAGGGCATCCTGTTCACTGCGCCACACTCAACAGACTGCCCTTGGACCAGCTGTATAACAACAGAAGAAAAGGACGACTCCAGCAAACTGTCAGCACAAGAGAAATTAAAAGAATGTTTACAAAAAGTACATGTTGTTCTTAAATACTATCAATAGGGTACATAATGCAAAATGTAATTCTGATGACACCATGTCCATCCCTCGACCATATGTACCGTACTCGACGCCTCACAGCAGGTGCAAGGATAACAGTGTCTGTTAGCAATGTGTGATTCGGGCACGTGGTAGGAAGAATGTAAGGAAGGTTACTAACGAAAGGAAGCCATCTGGCCCATCCAGCCTGCCTGGTAGATGCGCGTTTCTATGCATTAGCTTTGTAAATGAGATGAACCGATTCAATAAGCAATTAAAAATGCATTTATTCTCACTTTATAACGTACAATGAAAAAAAGTCTAGTTCTGACGGGGGTTAATGAAAATGCGTTGTGGACTACTACAGGAGCCAAGCTCATGTTTGGATTTTATGAAGGGTTTCAACTCGGACAGATATGCACGGGTATGCTTTGTTCCACCTGCCAACTGAATGCTTTTCCTAGAAGGACAAAGGAATCCCACAGAGATGCAATTCCGATCTTAAACGAAATGACTTAAATTGCCACATTCTGACAAAGCAGGAGCTGCCCAGCGGGCTTCCTTTGCAAGTACAGCCATTACTGTTCATAATGTGCCCCAAAGTAACCATGACTCTTTATCGCAAGAAATGCAAAATATGGTCTGATAAGTCAAAATTGGAACAAAACGTTCCACTCACCACCGAGATACTTGATAAACTGACAGAAGCATGCTAAGACAACATACTGAATCCAATTGAACTTAATCCAGAGGAACAGCTTGACTCTCATTCCCTTCGACACCTGGTCACAGCGTCAGTTCCGAAGTGCTCTAACAAGATTGTTTCTAACTTCTGACTCGATGTTCGCATAACAAGACCGCACGTTGTACACAACAGCAACAACTTCCCAAAATGGCAGAACCAAAGGAGGCATTTATCATTTTGCCTGCTGACTGATGGCTCAG